CATTTAGCCAACATAAGTTGACAAACCATCGAAGCATTTTTAACTATCAATTATCCAGAGCTCGGCGTGTTGTCGAAAACGCTTTTGGAATCCTAGCACCTAAATTTGGAGTGTTTCAAAGACCAATAAATCTTTGCCCCGAAAAAACAATAAAAATTACATTGGCTTGTTGCTACTTACACATTTTTTTAATTGAAACAAATCAGCAGCTATATTGTTCAAGAAGTATTCTTGTCAAAGAAAATTTAGAAACCGGAGAAATAATTAATGGTTATGAAAGAACAGAAAACGTATTAGGTTCTTTAAAGAAAACTCCTACTCGTAATGCAAGCGAAGATGCAAAATTGGTGAGAGAAAAATACTGCAATTATTTTAATAAGGAAGGTCAAGTTCCATGGCAAACAAATATGATTTAAAATTATATGATATATTACAATTATAACTATTATTATTTATTATTATTTATTTATTTATAATATAACTTAAAAAGTGCCTACATAATTACTTTACTTTTAAGTGCATTGTATCTTATATTTAAAATGTATGTTAGTATTTACTTTTTTTTGTGTGTGTAATAATAGAAAGTAAAATAAATAAGTATAACATAATATGAGAAAATGTTTATGATAAATTATCCTACCGTTATCTCTTCGTCTCTATTTTCAACTTTATCATCAATGGAACATACGCTTTTAGTTGGTTTTTCCAAATCCGTTAAGAATGATAACTCTTCAAATAACCAAGATGATGGTTAATAGACGTCGTCTGTCCCAGCACCACATCTTTTCAAGTCGTTAATTTTTTTTAATTTTTTCCGAAAGCTGCTTCTTAATGTATTAATTTTTTTTTACATCTTCAATTGTAGAGTCATTTTTCAAATGTTTATAATAAACTAAGAGTTTTTTATAGGCAGAATTTTTTTAATCTTTTTTGGAGCTTTACAACGATCATCCCACAATCAAGGGCGTCCATTGGGGAGGGCAACGGGGGACATGTCCCTCCCCTGGCTTTTCCGTGTCGATTATACATGTATATAATTATTATCTATATATATAAAAATGGAGACAAAAAATTCGAAATTGCATCAGCTAACCTGGGCCGATTTGGCTCAAATTTTTTTTAAATGATAGAGAATGTCGGGGAGCGGGTTTATAGCATAAATTATTGACCTAACTCCTGTGAGTTAGAGATTTAGAGACAAAAACTGAGTTACRCCGGTGGCGCCCTCTAGCAGATAAAAATAAAAATAAAAATATATAAATAATAATACAAATATCGATAATAGCAGGGCTTGAAATCGATTAATATCGATAAAAATCGAAAAAAAAAAATATTTTTATATTCTGGTTGATATACATTTTTTGTTATAGACCCTAGAACTTTAAAGTAAAATAATATTAATAATAATAATAATAATAGTTGGCACATTATTCATTTTATTTTGAAACATTATCGTTTTATGTTATTTATGAATTTTTTCAATCAAAAACGAAGTCCAATGGAACCACCAAAAATGAAGTCTAAAACAACTTTATATTCGTACTTTACGACAAAGGTATGTTTAATAATATTTTATATTACATACTTATTACTTATTAGATAATATTTTTATTTATTATTTCACCATTTTAATATTAATAAATATATATTTTATACCAGCTGCGGCCCACCGGGAAATTTCCCGGTATCCCGGTCGTCCAGTTTTCGCCATTGAGAGTGAATCTATAAAAAAAAAAAAACAGTTGATACTTTGGGGAGTCAAAAGTAAAAATTTCCCAGTACCTAGTTTTCAAAACCACCGTGAAAAATTGCGGCCTGAAGTACACTTTTTACCTTTTCACCTATCCCGATTGCGACCCGTCCATAGGAAATACTATTTAAGTGGTTATCAAAACCAAATAAATATCCCAATTGCGTTAAATACTTATTTTGACATAAATATAACTAGGTAGGTATCGTATTCGTGAATTATACGATCACCAATATTTGGCGTGCAATTTCCAGTCCATTAAAGTTCATTATTGAGATCAAAACAAACGAAGGTGAACAGTTTTTACTTATCAACGATAGTTGATCAAAGTAACTTACAAAATTTATAATCAATTTCTCAAATTTATGTCGATGGGACATTCCGATACTGTACTAAATACTTTTGTCAATTATTTACTGTCCATACATTGAATAATGGTCATTATTCTCCTACTGCATATTTTTTATTACCTGAAAAAAAATGTGAAAGCTATCAAAATGTATTTAATGGACTAATAGAACAATGTACGTAATACATTTGAATTTGAACCCCGATGTAATATTTGTAGATTTTGAAACATCTATACACAAGGTAATTCGTTTAACTTGGCAATTTGCTAGTTTGCTACTATAAAAGGTTGTACCTAAGTTCCATCTAGGATCTAGGTCAATAGTTGTGGCGAAAAACAGGGCCGGATTGGTATACATCAGCCCATCGAGATTTTCCCTTCTAAGCGGCCCATTTACATATTCACTATCCCAAAATTTGGGTCTCTATTATTTTTATTGGTTTATTACGTCTAAAATCGATACATACTTATTTACTTATTCTAACATGTATTTATTTTCACGCACACTCTGACACTACCGGCCCTAACTTTAAGCGGCCCATCGAGATTTTCTCGGTAGCTCGCCTAACCAATCCGGCTCTGGCGAAAAATATAAGGGTTAAGTACGATTTAGCTTCTATACAACCTTCAACGGCTAAAATACTAACATTTTGTGATTATTTAGTAGACACTATTATAGTTCTATTCTTATACAGGGTCCGTCAGAACAAACGCATGTTTTTCAAAATAATGCTACTCTCAAAGTAATTTCAGTAAATAATTTTTATTATATCAAAAGATGTAAACGCATATGCAGTTTTTTTTATATGTAACAAAATTTCGGTTTTGAAAATAATGTCAGGCATRTGCCCTTGAACCACTAAGTAGGGGTGTTGGCACTCGCAAAACGATCCTATCGTGTCAATCAGCATCTGTCTCGAAATTTGTCTCACCACTTGAGTGATCTCGTCTTTTAATTCATCAAGGGTTCGTGGTTTGTATTGGTAGACTTTTGATTGTATGTGACCCCACCAAAAAAAAATTGCATATTCTCAAGTCAAGGGAGCAAGGAGGCCACGGAATGTCCCCAAAACGCGAAATGAGCCATATATACATATATATGTATGACATTATTTTCAAAACCTAAATTTTGTTACATATAAAAAAACTGCATATGCGTTTACATCTTTTGATATAATAAAAATTATTTACCGAAATTACTTTGAGAGTAGCATTATTTTGAAAAACATGCGTTTGTTCTGACGGACCCTGTGCTTATAGTCATTGTTATTCATATTGTTTTTTATTGTAATCAACTTATTATTTTGATATTCAACTTATCTAATAAGTTAAATATATAATATATAAGTAATAATATATAATTATATACTGGGTGTATCAGATAGAACTGACTAAAAAATATGTCCAACACAGACTTATATAGTGTTTAAAATATTTACTTTATTTTATTAATTATAAGGTTATATAATTATAAAATTTGACTACCTACCTGCATTTGTTTGTTTATATACAAGCAATGACATTTTCAAACGTAGGTTTTTTGAGAAAAAATAATTTAACCAGCTGTTGTAAATATTAATAATAATTCACAATAATATCAAATGACCGTCTTCGCTCAGAATCATGTTTCTTATACAATATCACATCATTTAATTCAAATTTATCATAGTCCATGACAGTGGCTCACTTGTAACCTACTGTACAGCAGAGCGACACCCACTCGACACCTTTTTTTTATATCAGACGTTTAGTGCAAAAGTTGTGTGCAAAGTTAAATACAACTTGTATATTGCAACATTACCTACCACTAAATCTAGRATTTTGGTGACTTTTGCATTTTTTTTTTTAAGTGCTATACAATTCTAACCAAAAACTAAATTTGTTTTGTGATATAACAATTTAGCATATGTAATTTTTATTTTGCATTTTTTGTGTTAAATGCATTTTATTGCATTTTTAAGTAATATTACAATTATTATGTTCATTTTGTGTATTTTGTTTGTTTTAAGCTTTTTTAATATATGTTGTAACGATAATCCCAATTAGTACTTATAGGAAATTATACCTAATCCAGTCCATTGATATTGAAAAAGTAATTAATTGTCGATTTATCCGATAAGATTAAATATCAAACAAACCCAAAATTATATAGATATACAATAGTAGCTTTAGTAGTGAATACGACACTTGGGTACCTATGTGGTTCTAAAACGATCTAACTACACCATATTGAAAAAATAATATAACCAATTTACGACTAATATTAAAACTTAAAAAATGCCAAAAATTAAGTCAACAGTAGGAAGCAGGTTTACTTAATTTTGTCAGTCAGTTTGGTGCCGATAATTTCCGGTTTCAAAATAATTATACCAGGACGCGGTTAAATTCACAAGTCAAATTTATATCCATTTTGTTCATAATTATTAATTAATATTTTAAAAACATTAATATTCGCTCATCTTGGTACATTTTTTGGTCATCTTTTAAATTCATTTCTTACAGTTTTTAGGTCATTGTTGCATTTTTTTTAGTGCATTTTTGTGTATAGGTCATTATAATCCTAGCTCTACCTACTACCAATAACAGAACATAAAATAATATATTAACGTCAATGTGCATTTTTAGTAAATAAATGATTTAAAAATATTATAAAATATATAAATTTATAAATATTAAATATATATAAACACAATATTCATTTATTGTTGTTGTTGCGGCTGCTGCTGTTGTTGTTGTTGTGGCTGCTGCTGCTACTGTTGTTGTTGTTGTTGTGGCGGCTGCTGCTGCTGCTGTTGTTGTTGTTGTTGTTGCGGCTGTTGCTGTACAGCCGCAACAGCCAGAGCCTCCTGCTGCAGCTTAGGCCTGGGTCTGGCTTAGCTCCTGCCTTGGTGGCTTTTTCGGCTCTGGCTTTTGCGGCCTGAGCTTTTTTTGCTGTGTCTTTGACCCAGCAGTCAGCCACAACATGGCCCATTTTGCGGCAAACATTGCACCCTAAAAAATTAAATTAATTACAATGAAAACATATCTAATATAAAATGTTGATTGATTTTTTAATTTTCGAAATTAAATGTGGTAACCTCATATTTCTGTAAATAGAAGAAGACAATTAAGTTCAGCAGATTTTGAGAAGCCATTTTAAAACACGATGTTACAATATAGGATGAGCAATTTAACTAGATTATAAAAAAAGAATTTCTAGCATAAAATAATTTATGAATTTTCGTGATTTTTACGTATTTAGTCAAAATTTGAACTTTAAATGCTTATAAAAAAAAATCSTGCCTRCGAATTTTTAATATTTTTTAACTGCTATTGTTACAATGTGTTATAAGCCTTGAATTAAAATTTCAAGCTTTTCTACCGAACAAATAAATTTTTATCGATATTTATAGAAAAAAAAACTAAAAAAGTTGAAAAATTAAAATGTCAGTAAACAGCTCAAAACAAATCTAAATATTTTGAAAATT